GGAATAATAACAATAACATTACATACACATGTGTGTATGCAGGGACCCGCCATTAATGGGCAAAAATTACTGTTTACAAGTGGGGAAAACTCCATCTAGCCCGGGCTTCAGCTCGAGTGCAAGTTTCGTGTTAAAATAATAAACACATAGCAAAAATTGTAGCGCCATGTGCGGAGACAGGAGGAGGGACTGGGACTGGGACTGGGACTGGGTACTGGAGGCATAATTCCATTACAGAACTACTCCAGCTTGGGCCCCGGCACCGGGCACATAAATTATATTAAAAACAATATTTTCACCCGGCTCTCTTCGAACTCGACTCAAACTGAACTTCACACGCCAAAGTTTTTACATTTTTTCTCCTCACTCACAAACTCTGCGGTTTTTTTGCATTTTAAATTGCCGCGGACAGGAAAATGCCGTGGCAAGCTTAAACAATTACCTCGAAAACAAAGAACAGCAAAAAATGATAATAATAAAACTAAGAGCGAAAAAAAAACAATATGAAATTATTATAATGGCAATTAGTGTTAATTGTCACTTTAGGCTCGGAATGTTGTTGCTGAAAATTATAATTTTTGCCCAGTTTAGAGGAAATTTGCATTTCAAATGAGTTTCTTTTTGTTTTTCTTGCCGTTCATTTGTTTGTTTATTAGTTCGCTTGGCCTAAGCAAATAATAATAATAATAACAACAACAATAATAATAATAATAATATGAACGCAACATGAAAGTCAATGGGAAATTAAAATTTGTAATTACTCAATTATTTTGCATAAATCAAAACGAAGGGGAGTGTACCTCATTCCCTCACATTAAAAAGGATCCTAAAAGTTTCCTGTAATGGAAATGGCGGCTCCTTAATGACAATTCTGTGTAGCTCGTCAAAATCGGTGGCTTTTTATTAGGCAGGGAGAGGCCGGACCATAAAGATTTTAATGATTGGCAGTGGGCGTTGGGCAATTAAGCCGGTACGAGTTTGCGGAGTTTGGGAAAATTTAATTAAAGCCACGACAAAAACGCGTACCAGTGTCTATTGTTGGTTCAAATAAATTGAAACCATTCATTATCGAAACGAGAAGAAAAGAACTGTATGTGTGTGGGTGGGTGGAATAATTAAGGCAACTCGACTGGGAATATTGAGTGATAAATGTATCTCAATCTGTGCATGCCAAATTTATCGCTCTCTCCTTTCTTTAATCCTTTTGTGATTACTTCAAGCCATAATTTAGCATTTGTCAGTTGTCGTTGGCATTTCGTTCGTTTAAGTGCCAAAAAGTTTGAAGGGATAACTTAGGGGAAATCATTAAAAATATTTCAATGACCAGCAACGAAAGGGAAACTTTTTTTACTCACATAAAAAACAAAAAATAATGGAGAGAAATATAAAAATCAGAACTCTGAAATCAAATTGAAATGACGCACTTAATGGCATTTTATGGTTTATGCGCTTTTTTATTATTCCACCTCCTTGGATCTCTTTTTTTTTCTCTGCTTTCATAGAGTTTCCTCTGGAAAAGTTTAAACCTTGGAAAAAAGAGAAAATAGAAAAAGGCAAGTGACGTCAGCTGCGGTCTCTTGACTCTTTTTCGGCCAATTGGTAATTTCGTTATTAGTCACGCTCTTTGCGCTTCATTAATGTTCATTACACATAAATGAACCCACATCGATTGATATTTTTCAACTTGCTCCGCCATTGTCGTTGGCGGTTTTTAGTGGCCGTAATTTTTATATTGTGGTTGACGTTTTTGCGGTTTTTCTCCCAACTGTGGTGCGTGCATTTTCCTCGATTTTCCTTCCCCCCCCCCAACCGCATTTTATTTATTTACGAAGCCAAAAAGAGAAGCGAAGCCATCGAAAGGGGTTGCTCGCATGGCCAATTTCCTACGACTGATACAATTAATTATATAAATAAACATTTTTATTTATATTTATAGGACAAATTTGTTGAGACACAAACTTTGAACTTTCCCTCAGACACACACACACCACACACATGAGCATATGCTTCGTCCTGCGAGTATCCTGCAAAATATATCCCCCTAATACAGATAGGGGTTGCTTCTGCTGCTGCCCACGGCCAGGGAATTTATTGTACACGCTTAATTGAACATTGGCAACTTGAAAGGTTGAGCAGCTGATTGACTCCGCCTCCTCCCTCTGTACCCTTGTACCAATTTTTTATTTATTTCACTTCTTTTTTTATGACCTTTACGCTAGATAGCAGAACGAACAAATTCCAGAAATCGTTGCAAGTTATTTAAAATAGGATTTTTTATTATGCGCTTAAACAGCTGGAAATTTCATTTTGGTGTATTAAAAATGCAGGATTCGGGTCGGATCTCTCTCCCTTGTGCTCACTGGGTTGGGTTCATTTTTGGGAGGGAAAATGGGTCAGAGTCAGAGTCAGATCAGGACGGGGCTTGGAAGATGATTATGCCACTTGAGCGGCTTAGACTGATAAATCCATATGGCAGGCTTCAGTGCCCCCTCAAGTGGCACAAAATCGACAGAATAATGTGTGATGATGATGGCCATGGCTCTAGATTAGATTAGAAGGTCTCGGAGGCTCAAGTTTTTGGGAATCCCCAGAAGGGTTTTTCTGCTGCCACTTGCACAATTGCCGCTCATTAAGCGCCCAAAAGGAAAGTGGAAAATGGGAAAATGGTAAGCGGAATGAGGCAGCTGGCAGCTGCCTGGAGAAACGCAAACAATTAATAAATTTTTAAGTGCATGGCAAATCGTGCCCCGCACGCTGACCCCAAAGTTCTGGACACAAACCAAACTCAAACCTTGCAAATGGCTCTGCACACAATACATTATTAATTTTCACCAACCCCCCCCCCCCCCCCCCCCCCCCGTACACCACCACTCCCCTGGATGCACAACAAACAGCGCTTAATTTGCCAAATGGTTGCTTCTACTTTTCCACTCTGCCCCCACACTTCTACACTCACTCTCTCTCTCCAGTGCACTTAATGCAAAAAACTGCAAGTTGTAGTTTACTTTTTATTCATGGGACAGCGGGGGAGTTGGCAACAAAATATATATATATATACATATATATGGGGGAAGAAAAATGGTCAGAGGGCGCATATTCAACGCGCGAATGGGCAAAAGATGCAAAATACCTTGCCCAGAAAATTGTGCAAAAGCGGAAATCGGTAAAGAAGTTAAGGGGAAAGCACAAAAGCAAAGCCAAAATGGGGAAAAACTTCTTGAAAGGGGAGATGGAGAGCTGGTTAAGGAAGGGATAAGGATAACTAGGATACCCAGTAGTTAAGCTCTTCAAACCTAATGTCTAAGATGCATAACGCGGCCTCTAACTCAAGTCGGATCTCCAAATAGCTCGAAAAATCCAGTGCTAAAAATCTTAAGAAGTTATATATCTTGCTTAGTTTCAGCTTTATAGAGTATATAGATCTCTCTTGAACTTTAGCTTCAATGTATACTTGTTAATTCTAATACAATGTCCTTTAACTAAGCTACCCCTATTATAGCTCAGCTACAGGGTATTCACATTTTACAAATAGTAACAAAACTGAGCTGGTCCGAACTACTATATACACTGCTCCCTGCTGCAACTCCCTGCGAAAGCTTTAGAGTAAATTGTAGCGGCAAACTTAAACCAACTCTGCGTAGAGCGGGGTCAGCTAAAACAGAAATTCATTAAAACTTTGCATTGTGCTCGAAAATTGCCCAACCAACCAACCAAGCAACCAAGCAACAACTGCTACTGTTGGAGCCAGCAGCTAAGGCAACATTAAGTACTGGCTTATTGCAAACTAATTTGTCTAGAGAGAGATTTTTATGCCAAGGGGAGAAAGTCCTGCCTTGGCCAGGACTTGCCCCTTATCCTGACAGTGTCGCTGATGACGCGACAAAATCCAATTAATACGCTAGACAAATAAAATGTTGGGCAACTAGCTGGAATCTCCAGGATCTAGGATCTAGGGTGGCATTTCGGAGCGTTTAGATAAAGCAATAACCAAATGTGTCTACGAACAAACACACGCGACTCTGCATAACATTTTTGTCTCCCTTTTTTCGGGTTAGTCAAACTTCAGGCGGCACACTATATCTCAATATATATACTTTGTGGTTTTTGGTTGGAGGTCCTGTCTCTCTCTAGTCCTTGTCGCCATGTCTGGCATATGTGTCCTTTCCCCCGGAAATGTATTTGTATATGTGGCAGAGCCACGCGCTTTGTTTACTTAAGTTAACCAGAAAGTTTTCTTTAAGATTTACGCTTAAGTTATACGTGATAAAACTTTTATCACTATGACTTGTTCGCCTCGCCTTCGCCATTTCCCTTTTATTTCTGTTAGTGTCTGCGGCTTTGATAGAGTGCTTAGCGTTGGCAGCAGACGATGAAGAGATTTTCCCGGCTAATTGTTCAGTCGATATTAACCGATATTGGATATTTGTACATATATGAAATGGTTCAGGACAGTGCAGTTAATAAGCAAGGATGCAACCCCTAAGCTGGAGTTCTTAATCTTTTCCTTCTTGTTGTTTTCATTTGAGAGTGAGTAGAGTCTTGGGGCTGATTCCGTATGCTTGGCATGTCACAAAATTTCACTGTTTATATTTGTTTAAGTTTATTGAACAGCTCAAAAAAGGCTGCACAGAGAAGAAAGTGAAGTAATAGCATTGCTAGAAGGATATTTTCAGAGGTAAAGATAAGCGAAACATCTTATCAATTCAGAACCCGACTCAAATGTTTCTCTTATAACACTAAAATAATACCCTATTTCTCCCTGTGCACAAGGAAGGGTCTCCCTCTCTCTAAGAGAAAAGTGGAAATCACTTGAGTACTTTGATGGCAGCAGCTTATATCATCGCAGGGGCAAAACTTTTATTAACATAAACTATGAGCCAGGCAGGCAGGCACACAGCCCTTAGTCCTGACTTCTTCGAGGGCATAAATTTCACTTGGAGTTGGCACAAACTTCGGGCAGTATATCTATTTAAGAAGGACTATTATATATATGGACTCACCGTTATGGCAATGTCGTGACTGGCGTCGCATGTGTCCAGTTTGCGGCGGAAGCGAAGGACCGTGTGCGTGGCATTCTCGTAGCCCAGCATCAGCATATAATCCTGCGAAGGATCCACCACCGGCTCGGGGTCTCCATTCCGTGTGACGTGTCGATCCTGTAATTAAATGCAGCGAAAGCGAATGGGGATTAATGAATGGGGAAAATGGCGAGAAAATTGCGAGAAAAAGGCGGGAGAAAAATGCTTAATTTACTCAATGTTTTCTCGCTACTTTGAGGTGATTCGCACGGCTCAGTTTCATTCGGTTTTTTGTATGCGAATTCGGACATATTTTCATGTCATTAAACAAGGAAGTTTTCACCAGTTGTGATTGCTGACCCGACTCGAAACCCCTCCTGCAAGGACTCAACTTTCCCAGCGTGTGAGCAGTTCTCAAGCAGCTCTCAAGTTTTCTTCAGTCTGTGCTGCTTCTGCTGCTGGCTGCTCTTATTTTTCTGTCAGTTTTTCCGTAAAACAATTTAAATTTCCCCTCGTCCCTGCACTTTTGGCTTTTCCAAGTGTTTTGACAGAGTTGCCAAGTTTAAAGTTGCATAAGTAGTTCCAGGCCCAGGCCAAGAGTATGGAGCGTAGGAGCAAACCCTTTTTTCGGTTTAAAAATACAAAAATTTCACCCCCTATCAGGACCTTCCTGCTTTCTTCTCCAATGCTTTTGCACATGTCGGCTTGGCCTGGCCAGGGAGCCGTCGAACACAGAAGCCAGATATCCCAGATATCCGTGGGTGTATGTAAATTCTTATACATATAACAACATGACCCCTGTCTGCCGCCTGCTCAATATTTGGGAAATGTTCTCTCAGCTTGTTGTGGCTGAGTGCCTCAGTCCTGGGTCCTGTGTCCTGTGTTCTGGTGCCTGGGATAGGTGCCCGGGTAAAAGGATTCGGCTTTTCATATTGGCAGTTGACTGCAAATGGGCGTTATGGCTGTCAGAGTCCTCCGCCTCCGCCTCCTTACACAGCTTTCCGGCCCTCTTCATCTTTTTGTTGTTTGGCAAAAATTTTGATGATGTTGCCAAAGTCAAAAGTGAAGTGGCAAGGGGCTGGGAGATGGCCTGCTCCTCCATGTGCTCCTTCCGTAATTGAAGCTGATGGAATTCAGGAAGGGGGAGGAAGTTTTCTTCGCAGTAGATATTTTCAACATTTTATTGATTTCATTATTTTATATGGAACTAGAGACTGGGTGCAGAAAGCTTTTCTCGAAAACTCACTTTTGCTTTGGTTCTCTTAAAATATTTACAGACTCTGTCTGGGTTTTTCACTTTGATCGAATTCCATTTGAATACGGAACTATTTCCTAGAGTTGGAGTAGGTTTTTAGGAAACTTTCTTTTGAATTTAATAAATATATCAATTAATTTCTATGAATTCTTACATATTTCCCTCTATTTTACTTGATAAACTCTTAGGAAATCCCTTTAATAAAACACCTCTCCTTAAGCACAATAGAGTGTGAAATATTTCTGAAAATAATTGTGTGTGAAAAATACCTTTGATATCTGTGAGAAAATTCATTTGATCTACGTTTTTCCTTTTGATAATTTTGCTCTATTCATCTAGGAAATGGCGCTTTCCATCAATTACAAAGAAAACGCGCAGCTGATGGTCAGTTTTCCTTGTTCCCTCTCTCGAAATGTATATGTATCTTATATCTATATAGAGGATGTATCCTCCGCCACCTGAACATTTGATTTATCTGCGCTAATGCTCCATCTTTTATCACACTTAACGGGATGTGCGCACTTTCCCAAGCTCTGTTTTCCGGCTGACAGATTATGGCGCATAGAAAAAAGTTATCCATCTGTCCTTTTTCCAGCTTCAGCTTCAGTTTCTGCTCCTGCTCCTGTTCCTCACCTCACCGCATCTCGTTGGTGTGTGTATAGCAAAATGAGTGTTTTCCATCATCTAATTACAACGAAATTTCCCATAAGCACACACACACGCACACACACACCTGAGGCTGTTGCAATTAATTTGGGCCAATTTATATCATCTGCGTGTTGTTGTCAACCGAGAGACGGACGGACAGACGGACGGACGGACAGAATTACATGCCGGCATTTCATTAATCATATCTCAACGCTCCAACGCTCGCCCTGCGCCATTTCGCCATTTTAGTTAGCTAATTAAAAGTTTTTTCCTCTTTCGCTCTGTCTGTCTCTCTCTTTGTTTCAATGGCGAAACATTTAACATAAATTTTGGTTGGAAATTTGTAGAAATATTTTCCATCTATGGCAGAGATAATTGTCCTGCTTGTGTTTTTTTTTTTTTTTTTTTAGGAAGGGAGAATAATCTGGCAACGCATAATTCAAGATCGCAGGCGCGCAGTTCCCGTTTCCCGTTTGCGCCTGTTTTGCACAGTTTCCCTTTTAATTTTACATTATCAACGCTGAAACACACATACTCACACACACACATAGACCCACCTTGACATGTTTCTCGCTTATCTAGAAAAAAGCGAGAGAGAGACAGAAGAGACCGAGGCGAGAGAGACAGTGCGAGAACTGACGGAAATTAAAAATACGCGCTGCAATGTTGCAGGCACCAACATGAACGAACAGGAACGAACACGAAGCGACGTTATCAAAATCTGCGTGTGCGTGGGCGTGGCTAAAACGAGGGGCAGCCGGAAGGTGGAGGGCGGAAGAGGGGTCCTCCGGGGTCGTTTGGGGGGGGGGGTAATTATGCAAAAAGGGAAGGCGCATAAATTTGCAATATTCTTGGAGCTCCTCTCAAATGCCAACGACGTTTAAACTGCTCACAACATTCTTTTTTCTCTTTTTGATATAGGTGTGTGCCTGTGTGTGTGTGGGTGTGTCTGTCTCTGTGTGCGTGAGTGGCAAAGAAGAAGCAGAAATGTCGCCTGAAAGGAAACTCTAGCCATTAAATGCGGTACATTAGCTTTTCCATTGAGTTTGTGATGATAATCTAATAAGTATGCTACGGATTTTGTTTGCCAAACGAAAGGATAATGGAGAAATCTCAGATAAGAACAAGTTTTGGTAGATAAACTTTAAGTTAGAATCCTTTCTTTATATAGTTTTAAAATAAAATAAATTAGTAGACTTTTATCTTTTACTCTTTCTTTCCTTATTTCATAAACATAATCTGTGCCGCATATTCAATCAATTATTTAAATTTCACTATTGTTTAACTAATTGAATAATGTCCTTTTATCTTCTATATTTCCAACACTTCCCGTAGGGTATTCCCCGGGGAACTGCTTTAAATGGTTTCGCCGTTTGCTGCCACTTGCTTTTTAAGTTGCATGCCACGTTGACTCGGCTCTCTTGTTGTACTTGTCGCGGGTCCTTGACGCTGCGTCCTGCTTGCGCCCACTCACCTGGCACCCCGGCAGGACCTCCTTCGCATCTCTGCCATTTCCCATTTCCCCGCCATTCCCCGCCATTCCCTCATCCGGAGATCCCGTTCTCGTTGCCGTTGTCAACGCACACGTTTTTTTAATTGCTGAAATTTTATCACACCTTCATGGTTCGCAGGACTCGTAAATTGTAATCCTTGCGCTGCGCTCGACGCCTGGCGAGTCTCCTACAGCTTTGGCTTCAGCTTTAGCCTCAGAGTCAGAGCTTCGGCTTCAGCAGGACTACTTCTGCTCGAGCAGACAGCTCCTTGCCCTGGTTTGGCCTTTTTTGCGATGTTGTCATTAACGTCGCTGCCTCTTAAGCATTTAATAGCCTTGTCAAGACTTTAATGCCTTTTAGCCGGAGCCCCGGCTCCTCCTCCTAATATGTGTGTGTGTGTATGTGCGATGGCGGTGGGCGGGGGGGAAATCAATAAAAGCAGCGCACAAATTAAGCACCTTTTGAGCTTTTCCCCCCCTTTGCCAGTTGGTTTACTTTGCTTTTCCAGGCCGCAACGTGAATTTAATAGGATTATGCAGCAGCAGCGGCAGCAGCAGCAAAGGATGTTGGCAAGGACAAGGGACAAGGACAAGGGGTCCCAACTTATGCAAAGCCCTACCACTCAGTGTCACTGCATTCGCTGAAAACCCCTTTTCACAAGCCTAATTGTCCTGATTTTCGCCTGATGGAAACTTTTCACACTCTCCTTGCCAACCCCCGCCGCCGCCCCCCCAAAGTTTTGTTATGCCAAAAACAAACTTCGGCAATTTATGATAATTCAACGTCAGCTGGGACAGTTCAGTGAAGTACATACTCGCACATTTTGGGGGTAACCATCATCAGAGGACTCAGACTCCAGTCAGCCGAACCGAGACGAGCTGACAGCTGGCCAAGGCAGGCGGTAAAGGTCTTGAAATATGCTCGGAGCACACATTAAACTTATTGCCAGGACTCCACTCCACTTCACTCGACTAATGCCGGGCATCGTGTACAGATTTGCTCCGGAGAGCACGGCAAACAGCGAAAGGGTTGGTTCCTACTCCCCCACCACCACCACACATATCACACAAATATCAAAATGTTAGCTCTACTATCGGTATACATCTAGAGTCGTACTAATATGTGCTGAGGCGGAGAGTTGCCAGCAAAGTTCATTGATGAAGGTTTGCAGTTTCCGACAGGTTTCCATGATTTAGATGGAACGAAGAACTCTGGGGAGTGGCTACCAAAAGGAATACAAAAAGGTATTGAAATTGAATGTTTAGATCAAAGATTTCTTATATTTCCAAAGCATTCTCTTATATCCTTGCAATAACTACTCAAGCAGACCTCGCTGACACGCCCCTTCCTGCTGGCAACTGTCTTAGATATCTATTGCCATTTGCCAGTGCCAAAATTGTATGCAGCACCCATGCACTCCCTACTCCCTACTCCCTTACACCCGCATCCTGTTAAGTTGGTGGCATTGTAAATTGTTTTCCTGTGCACTGCTTGTCCTTCCTTTCCTGCTCCGTTTCCTTGCCTGTCATCCTGCCAGCCTGCCAGCCTGCACTTGATGTACTATAGTATATAGATATATGGCGAAAGGAGCACTGAGCTTTCGCATTTCCCGCTCTTGTTTTGGCTTAGGAATTGATGGCGTCGCCGTCGTTTGATGCCTTATGTACATTTGATTACGTATACGCTATGTTGCCTGCCTATTTGCCTGCAGGAGTGCACAAAGTCTGCTCTCTGTGTGTGTG